ACGTGTGCTCTTCCGATCTGAAAAGGTATAACAGTTTTATTTATTAATTCTGAGAGAACTTTGTCAACTAAAGTTTTTAATATAATCGAGAACTTAGAGTTCTGTAAAACAATGTTCGATATTATTTGTTAATTTTCTATAATTTATATTATTAAAGGAATTTTTTTATAGCTGGTTAAAATTGTTATTAATTTTTCATTGTACTTGAATTTTGATATTTTTTTCGGGACGTTCGTCAATAACAAATCGCTATTATTGCTCGTAGAAATGACCTGCGTGTTAAAACTTGAAAGAAGAACTTCCCGAATGTTTGGTATGGATCATATCATCGACGTTGGATGTACGTGTAAAGGCTCGACGTGATATATAGTGCTCGACGTGAAATGTAATGCTCGAATGTACGTGATAGTATGTAATGCTCAGCGAGATGCATTCTGCTCTCTGTGTGGGTGCCGCACACACTTTCACGCAAAAAATTCGAGGAGCACTGATCTTCGAGGATTAATTTTCTCGCACTCTTTGGAATTCTACAAAGGGAGTCAAACAATACATTACAATCGGTAAGACGTCATCAGTAAAATATCGATAAAATGATACCGATAAGAGCGAAAATGTCCATTAAAAAAAAATGTTCCGCCTTTATAGATTGGGGCCATTCGAAATCAACGTGTGAAGTTACCACGGCCGTATCGCTACTTTTATCTCGTTATCTCCTTGTAACTCGTAGATGTCTTTTCTTAATAATTAAATCGAGTCCGAGTTGCCTATGATTAATATCGCATCGTCAGCTTTGAACCGCTGCGTGTAATATTAAACGCAGATTTTGACTTAGACTTTTAAGCGACGAACAGAAAGGCCTACTTAGAGTAATTACATTAAAATTTCATAGTAAATGTAGGGCCACAGCTAGCGTATAAGACGCCTTTATAAAGGAGTTCATTTAGGCGCCTAACGATAGAACAAAAGATATTTGAAAAATCGAAGAATTGAAAATTGATTTCGAGTGAGGAAACCAGCAATGTACAAAAGTTGGCGTCTTTCTTTTTCCGT